TGCTCCCCCTCACTCCCCCTCACACCTCTCTCTCCCTCCCCCTCACACCTCTCTCTCCCTCCCCCTCCCTCCCCCTCACACCTCTCTCTCCCTCCCCCTCACACCTCTCCTCCCCCCACTCCCCCCCACACCTCTCTCTTTCCCCCTCTCTCCTTGGAGAAAACAACCTCCTAGCATACATGTTTGTGGGGGGAGGCTTGGTTTTGGTTTGATTTTGTTTTTTGTTTTTTTTAATTTTTTATTTATTATGTCTACAGTGTTCTGCCTGCATGTCAGATCTCACTACAGATGGTTGTGAGCCACCATGTGGTTGCTGGGAATTGAACTCAGGACCTCTGGAAGAACAGCCAGTGCTCTTAACCTCTGAGCCATCTCTCCAGCCCCTTGTTTTGGTTTTTGAGACAGAGTCTCGCTGTGTCGTTCTGTCTGGCCTAGAACTTGCCATGTAGACTGTTCGTCTGGAACTCAGAGATCCGCCTGCCTCTGCGTCCTGAGTGCTGGGATTAAAGGCGTGCGCCACCGTGTCCAGCACTGTTTTTGGTTGAGACAGAATTTTGCTGTGTAACCATGGCCGCTCTGGGGATCCAACTTTGAACCCTCCTCCCGTCTCTGCCCCCAGAGTGCTAGGATTATAGGCATATCTTCATGGCTGACACACAAAAGAGGGCTTAAAATGAAAATTATTGTGTAATGAATTTATTTCTAGTTGTCTCGTTTTTGTTCTAAGAATCAAGCCCAAGGCCTTGTTCGTGCTGGAAAAGCATACCACAGACTACACCCCAACCCTCTAATTAGCTGCTTTTCTATCAGCAGAATATTTGTGTGGCTCAAAACTCAAAAGGCTGTGGACTGTGAAAGTCCGTCTCCCCAGGCCTGCCTCCCTTCTGAGTGCCACTTCCACTAACTGGTGGTTGTTCCTTCTTGAGTATCTGCATACACTGTGTGCCCGCCAGTGGTTGCCTTGTCTTGTTCTGGGACAGCTGTCAAGCAGAGGCGCTTCTTCCCTGGGGGAGACCTTTGGGAGGACAGGGAGGGCATCCCAGCCACCAGGTGCCGTTATTAGGGGCCTCTGACTGTTGGCTGTCTTCCCTCCAGGGCGGGCTAGGAGTATTCGTCCAGCTGATGCCCATCCTCATCCTCATCCTGGTGTCTGCGCTCAGCCAGCTCATGGTGTCCAGCCCACCCTACAGTCTGAGCCCGAGACCGTGAGTACAGACCCCTCCTGGGTCAGCCCAGCACAGCAGGGGACCTCAGTCCCCATCAGAGCTCTGCCTTCCCAGCCCGATCTGTGGGGTGCCCAGGCATAGCAGAAAGCTGACTGAGGTCAAGAAGGACACTGTCTCTGAGCCGGCCCCTAGGACTTTTGAGGATCATGGCTCCTCGGAAAGCACCAAAGAAGTTCTAGGCCTCTCCTTGGGGCAACACACATACACTGTCGTGCATGATTTTAGAAACGTGACTCTCCACCTTTGCTGACCCTGAGAGGTCCTCTACAGCCTGCTTAAAGCTCTAAGGAGGAACAGGGTTTAGTCGGTCAGAGGAGGGTGCCTTACATCCTAGCTTCTACATGGAGAGCTGTGGCCCCGGATGAGTCATGTAGCCTTGGTTCCCTCATCTGTGAAATGGAAACAATAGCATCCACCTACTTGGAAGAATGAATGAGTAACGTATTTGAGATGTCTAGCTCATTGGACATGCTCGGCATTGTTTGTTGAGTGGATACTCAATCTCAACGGCCAGTGGTTAACTTGGGGGAGTTAGGTGACCCTCCTCGAAGGTGTCAGTGCCCGGAACAGTAGGTTCTCAGCTTCTGCCGATGCAAGCCCAGGGCTCCAATCCCTTGGCCTGCCCCCTGCCTGAGGCCTCACCAGGCTCCCTCAGCCAGCAGGGGGCAGAGTTGGCCTCTGCGCCTACAGCAGCCCTGCTTGCCTGGAGCCTGATGCAACCCCCCTCCGGCGGCAGCTAGAGACAGATAAGGAATGCCAGTGTCCTCGTCCTCGTTGGCTGGGGCCACCCGCCCTGGAGCAGTGGCTCCTTTCTCTTGTTGCCTGCAGATCTTGTGGCTGCAGCTTCTTCGTGACATTCGTTCCTCTTTGCTTTTTTTCTTGTGGAGTTGAGAATGAACTCCTCACTCATGCTGACACACCATTTAGAGGCTCAGAACTCTAGGCAGGCCCTGGGCATCCATGAGCTTAGAGGCATGGAAGGCAGAGCCCACACCCTTGCCAAGACCAGCTTCCCAGACCAGCATCTCTCCTCAGGAAGGGCTTCTCCCCACATGTCCCAGTTCTCAGCAGAGCACCTAAAGGTGGAGTTTGCCACAAGCCGAACTGTTTGTGGGGGGCGGGGGTGGGGGTGGGGAGCACTCCGCCTTTGCTGCAGACTTTCATTTTGGGGAGCCAGCTGTTCCGGTGGCCTGTGTGGCACCTCCTGCCACTGGGCCATCCCCCTTCCAGCTGCCCACTTTGTGCCTGGTGTGTTTCTGGTCAGGTCGGTGGGCCACGTCCACAAGCGAGTCACTGACCACCTGAGCGTCGTGTACTATGTGGCAGACACCTTCTCTGAAGAATACACGGGCTCCAGCCTCAAAACAGTGGAACGGAATGTGGAAGACGATTATATCGCCAACCTCCGAAACAACTGTTGGAAGGAAAAGCAACAGAGTGAGTGCGCGTGCGTGCGTGCGTGCGTGCGTGTGTATGCGTATGCATGCCCTCGTGCATGTGCGTGCATCTGCATGCACTATATGTTATGTGTGGGTGTGCAAGTGTGTGTGCCTGTGGATACGCGTGTGCGTTCTCGAGCATGGGAGGGTGGGGGTAGTGGTGGTGGTGGTGGTAGTTGGAAGGGGTGGCCAGGAATCATGCTTGAGAATAGAAAAACCCTACTCGGGTTGGGGATTTAGCTCAGTGGTAGAGCACTTGCCTAGCAAGCACAAGGCCCTGGGTTCGATCCTCAGCTCCAAAAAAAAAGAAAAAAAGAAAAACTCTACTCACGTGCTACCCAACACCTGGCACTGCCCTGTGCCAGCCACTTCCCTGCCAAGACTTGAACTCCAATCCTGGGTTCCCCTGGGGCTGCAACCCCAAGGCCATCGGATGATTTCATGGAGGTCCCCATGAGTCACTAGAGCCTGTTGTTACTAGAGGTGAATGTCTAAGAGACAGATTGGAACCCTGACCACCCACTGCTCATGTCCCTGGTCTATCTGTGAGACGATGGGGCTGTGGGACAAGGATTGTGGCTTCTCTGCTGGGCAGGCCTCCCCCAGGTTCTGTGGGAAAGTCACCTCTCTTCCTAAGGGGGAGCTCAGTCTCTGCTGCTCCGGGTTCTCTCGCCCTGGGAGGCCAGCCCTGCCCTAGCTCCTGGTCCTTCTTCCTGTTTCTCCAAGTGGCTCAGGCTGTGAACCTCAGGGGTCCTGGAGCCCTGATCATGCCCCGTTTCTTTGCAGAGGAAGGCTTGCTGTACCGGGCCCGTTACTTCGGGGACACAGACATGTACCACAGAGCACAGAAGATGGGCACCCCGAGCTGCAGTCGGCTGTCAGAGGTGCAGGCCTCCCTGCATGGATAGTTCTGGGCCAGCCACAGCACCCAGGTCCAAGTATGAGCCAGGACCGCTTCTCGGCTGCAACTCCTGGCAGCCTTGGCCTTGGTCATGAGCAGAGCGGGGGAGGGAGGGAGGGAGGGAGCCTGGTGATGATGGCAGAGACTCTTCACATCCTGACATGAGGTAGCTCTGGGCACTTGGGAGAACAAGCCTGTGGCAGCCCACCAGTCACCCTGCTCTATTGACCCTGTTCTCCTGTACCCTCTTCAGGGTTCCAGGACAGGGGGTACCCAAAAGGCAGACAGAGTGGGGACCTTGTGGTTCCTTACCTCCTCCAGTAATCAAGCCACCTCCCATTTCCCAAGCCTGAGCCCATCACATATTACTGGGTCTCAAACGGCCCCTCACATACGGTGCCCCCACTGAAGACAGGCAAGTCCTTGGGGAGTTGAACCAGCCCATCAGCAGACAGGAGAGGTCTCTGGGCCCCTGACCACTCCCTCTCTGGTGGGATCTGAGACCCTCACCCCGGTGCCCTGTACCTGGGAGCCTGGGAGCCACGAGCATCCGGCCCCACCCAGGCATCTCCCCTGTGGTCTTGAAGAAGGGAACAAAAGGTCACAAGTTCAGGGTCAAAAGCAGCCACTGAGCACAGAAGGGGTGGGGAAAAGTGAAAGTTGCTATTACCAGGCACCCCACCCCCCTCCACCCCTTCCCCTGCATGTGGGTAATGGGCTCAGTTCCCAGTGCCCAGAGCGGGTAGCCTGGCCCAAGCCCAGCGGAGTGTGGGCAGAGCCAGGAGTTTTTGGCACAGGTACCCTGCCTACCCCTTCCTTTGCCTGTGTCCCTGACCCAGAGCCAGCTGCAGGCTGCTCCGGGGCCACTCGCTAGCTCATGTCCTCTCCGGGCAGCTCATCACACTGCAGAGGACCTGGGCGGGACCAGCTGCTCGCTTGTGGGGCTGAACTGGAGGTGCCCGCCACAGCTGCCCACCTAACTGTCTCCCTCTCCTCCCCCAGACTATGAAATCCCTGGAGAACTTTTGGTGACACACTGAGCCAAGGTGATGGACTGTATATTTAAGGAAAGACAGATGCAGGAAAACAATTTAAGCGGAACTGGAGGCCGAACACCGCACAGCTCCCCTCTCAGCCAGTGACTGGAGAAAGCTCTTAGGACGGACAGACAGCCTGCTGCAGGCCCGCTTCCCCCCCTCCCAAGGGCTGGCAAGAAGCTCCACATCACCAGCTCCTAGGATACAGAAACCATGGCAACAAAAGTAGAATCTAAAACTTGCAGCAAATGTCTGTGGGGAAGGACTGGGGGAGGGGACACCCCACTGTCTCTCCTCCCCCCTCCCAGGAGCCAGCACCAGTCACCTCACAGGAGAAGCCAGGCATAGGCATAGGCCAAGGAACAGAGAGGAGAGAATTCCCAGAGAATGTAACAGGAATGCGTATGTATGTATATATATCTATTTATATGTAAATAGACATATATAGAGATATATATATATATATGTAAAGTCTTTTTTTAACTGTGCAGGGATTGGGTTAAGCTGTTCAGCTGATTTCTTCCATATTGTAGAAAATGAGGCCCGTTGGGAAAGACAGCCAGTTTTCAGCTAGACAGTAGCCGTAGCTGACCGAATGAGGAACGTCGGGTCGGATGCTCTTGGCGTCCTCCTTAGCCCCAGCCCAGCCTGGCTTCGATGGCAACAGTAATCATGGTGGTATAAATGCATAGAAAACTTCCAGAGGTCTCCAGGCTCATGGTTAGGGTACGGGGAGCAGGCGAGAAAGGTACCCCTGGAGCTAGATAGCTGGTCAGGGTCGGGCCACGTCCTCGGCCAGCCTCAGGTGGGCTCTCTGCTGTGGTGCCCAGGAGCCCTGGCGGCCAGTCCCCTGCCCGTACCTCTTCCCCACCCAGGTCCTCAGGTGGGTCTGCCTTACGGGGGCCACAGGGCACAGCTCCACCATTGCCAACAGGCCCCCTCTGTAAGTTGTGCACCAAGGACTCCAGAAGGCTCTTCATCTGGGAGGTTGACCCGAGTGCAGCCCAGCTCGTGAAGAAGAAGAGCCCGTGCCTGTGGGGACCTGTCTTTATCTCCACAGTGGACTCCACCAGGCCTCTACTCATGGGATGAAGAATCCACGACAACCCGAACGGCTTTCCCCTTCAGATGAGGAATTTTCTCAAAACAGCCATCGCTGCCAGGGGAAGGCGGGGAGCTTTCATCTACTCCCACGACCACAGTGGGCCTTTGGGAACTGCCATTTCCCCGGTTTTCCTGTGGCGGCGGCGGATGTGGCCGTGGCACCTGTGGCCGTGGCACCTGCCGTCTTCCAAAGCCTTACTTCCCCAAGCTGCCAGCCCAGAGGTGGCATCTGTCCCCCCGGGGTGTGTCTCTCTCTCTCTCTCTCTCTCTCTCTCTCTCTCTCTCTCTCTCTCTCTCTCTCTCTCTCTCTCTCTCTCATTCAGCCCCCTAACAAATAGGATTCTTGCTGGTAAAGGAAGTTTGGTTAGGAATATCAAATCTGTTTTTTTTTTTTAAAACAAGGTCCCACCCTGCAATGAAGTGGCCACCCTGGCCTAGAGAGATCATGAGAACTGGACGCGGGCCAGAGGACCCCACCCACAGTGGCCCTGGTGCTCTGCCTCCACCACCCCAACTGTCTGGTCTTGGTACCTGTCCCCAGAGGGCCTGAGCCACGTGCAATAAGAACATAGATCCTAAAGGATCCCCCAAGAAGCTGTATTTCTTGAATTAGAATTCTGAAATTGTACATCTATAAATATATGTTTATTATGTGATTGGCAGTGGTGGGTCTGCATCAAGCAGGGGAATGGGGCAGGGTGCACCCACCAATTGCCATTGACACCATCCAGCCCGTGCCTCGGGAGCTCCCGACAAAGGAGCCTTGGGGTTGTAGAATGTGGTGCCCCAGGCATCAGTCCTAGCCGGAACCTGCTCACCACCCCTCAATACATTGTTTTTGCTGGGCTGGGCTGGAGCCCACTCACGGCCTGGGACCTGCGGAAAATTCCCAAGTGGGTCTTGCCGTCTCTGGTCCACAGCCTTCCCTACCACAGCCTCCTCTCCCTGGGAGGTGGGAAAAGCTAACACCGAGGCAGCCTCGGGCTCCGGGCTCCGGGGGAGGGAGCCGCAGATCTGCCGGGCCTCCCGGAGACAGGGCCGCCAGCCGTGAGTGGCGGGCCCAGGCCCCTCCCGCCGGCGCGTCAGCCAAAGGCAGGCGGGCTGCCTGGTGGTGCCACCGCGGCCCGGGAGCCCATTGGCTGTCCCCGAGCAGGGTCACCGCAGCCTGCCCCGGCCGGCAAGCTACCACTTGTTAGCTGCGCTTGGCAGAAGGGTAGCCCGCTTCCTAACCCCCTCCCTCCCTGACTAACTAAACATCTCGGTGAGCCAGAAGGGGTGGGACGCCGTCCATCTGCAGCCAAAAAAAAAAAAAGAGGCTTTGAGCAGATTGCTCCACCCACTGTCAGGTGGCAAGAAAAGCCCTGCTGGGCCTCCAGGGACCTGCCCGCTGTCTCCTAACCCCGCCTGCTCAGGTCCGGGACAGGAGGGGCTCCATGGGACAAGGAGCAGGCACCTGGCCTGATTTTTTCCAGACGCTCACGTCACCTGACTGTCTAGGGCAGGTGTGCATAGTGCCAGCATTTGACACTGGTTCAGGACCAGCTCAGAATTCCGTGTCAGGCCTCACACCATATGGCAGAGGGAGTCAGCCCATTTTCCCAGAGCTGGAAAGAGACTTGCCAGAAGGGAGGTGATCCGAGGGTCTTCTGGAAGTGGTGTGTTTGCCTGTTTGGAGCCTATCATAAACATCACTCTGCAGACATTCACTGAAACCAAATTTACTGTGTTTGACAGGACCACGTGGGGTGGGGTGGGGTTGGATTGGGTTGGGTTTTATGAGGTAGCCTCACTGTATAGCCCTGGCTGCCATGAAACTCATAATGTAAATCAGGCTGGCTTTCCATTTGTCATAGTGAGCAGCCTCCTGACTGCGTTTCCCTGGTGCTGGGAAGTACGGGTAATGTATCTGGGGCCTCTTAGGATTTTGACTTCTTTGTTTTTAAGACAGGTTTCGTGTAGCCCAGGCTAGCCTCAAACTTACTATGTACCAAAGGCTGGCCTTGGCCTCCTGCTCCCTCTGCCTCCACCTCCAGAGGGCTAGATTAGGCATGAACCACTCACTACTCTAGGCCAAACCCAGTCTTCAAGTGTGGCGTGAGTTCAGGAACAGGGACAAGGGTGAGGAGTCACGCTCGGAGAACGGACATCAGCTGGGATGAACTGCCCAGCCAGGCAGGTGTCTCTCCTCAAAATGGCATGGGTATCCACCTGTTTAGAGGACTGTACCCCTCAGTTGGGATCAGCCCCACAAGAAGCATAGAAAGTCAATTATTATGCAGGGCAGCAGTGGCGCACGCCTTTAATCCCAGCACTCGGGAGGCAGAGGCAGGTGGATCTCTGTGAGTTCGAGGCCAGCCTGGTCTACAGAGCGATCTCCAGGACAGGCCCAAAGCTACACAGAGAAACCCTGTCTTGAAAAACCAAAAAGAAAACTAGTTATTAGTGTCGGTGTGGACTCAGCTGCCTCACACTCAAGCCTGGCTTCATACGCACTGGCTGGGTAACCTTGGGCATGTCACTTATCATCCCTGTGCCTTGGTGTCCTCTTCCACACAGTGAGAAGGGCTCAGACACCGGGCTCACGGGGCAGTTGTGTGGAGCAAGAGTTGGCTCACGGGAATCCCTTCACACGGTGTCTGGTCACAGCAAGCTCCGTCCAGGCGTTATTTGTCCTGTCAACAAAGATTCCCTGATGGTGATGTCAAGTCCTATTCTAGACCCTGAAACCACAGAGATGACAGGACACTGCTCTTGAGGAAACGGGGAAGGCAGGTGTGTGGCCCGTGGACCGAGTCTTCCAACTGGGGCCTCTGGGATAAGAGGGTTGACACTTTCATGGTGGGGAGATTCCAGCCAGAGGGAGCAGTGCTGACAGAGGCCTGAAGGTGGGGAGGGATGAGCAGGCACAGCCAGCGAAGACTATGTAGGCCAGATCCCCAGTCTGTACTTATCACACTGGCCATACACAGCCGTCTTGGGCAGAGAGAAAAAAAAAAAAGTCACCAAGAATAAAAGCCCCTGAGCATTCCTGCCTGCCCCATATGTCCTCCCAGAAGCATCTTAGCCTTCCAGGGTGCCCTTCCTGGCCGGGGTCTGGGGGTGATGCTGTAAGGCAAAAGAGAAACCATATGGGAAGTGACCAGGGTACCATTTTCCCAAACTCCAGCAATAGGATGTTTCTGAAGGACAGGGCCCAGGCCTCCTGCCCCTTCCTAAAGGCCCAGAACACAGGCCAGTCAGGGCCAGGAGGCAGCTGCGTAGGCTTACTCATCCAGGCGACCCTGCCAAAGGCCTGAAGTTAAGGTTTTGTTTATGGAAAGGAGCATCTGGTGCCACACCTCACCCCCCTCCCCTGCCTTTCCCTCCCATCTGAGTTGGTCTAAACAAAGTCCCTTAGGAAGGACAGGATTGGCTGTGGTTGCTCAGACACTGGGTGAGCTTTCCTTGGGTGAGGTGCCCAGTGGAGTTGGCAACTGAGAAGGGCAAGGATCAGGCTTGGGGCTTCTGGGTGCTCGGGCTGGCAGCTTCAGTACCTTATCTGATTGTTCTCATCTTTCTGATGGCCCTGGAGAAGAAAACACAAGACACAGGGATGCTGAGGATGTCCGCCCAGGCCTTATTCCCCCATCCTGACATCACTCAGATTTCCCCCTGACCATGCCACTGGTAGTGATGGTGTCCTGGCTCCACATAGCCTGCAGGCCCTGGCATGCACCCTGGAGCCTCGGTCACCTTCCTTGCCTTTTGCCTGGCTCCCGCTGTCTGCATCTTGGTGCTGCCCCTTGGCCTGCGGCTCGCGTTGGATACCCAGCTGCTGAGATGCACAGACGAAGTCTCCCGGCCTTCCTTGCTCAGCCTCCAGCCAGCAGCTCGCGGAGGCTGACTCCTCCAGAGGAATCTGCAGAGTTTCCAGCAGATTCCCAGTCTGTCATTCCTCCCCCGGAATGACGGACATTTGCCCTGTGCACCATCCCTTCAGTGACTACACCTATCAGCTCTGTGACGACACAGTGGGGGTCCCGGGAAGGAAGCCGAGGAAGGAACAAGGCTGGAGGGCAGAAGGGACCCCCGGGCACCGAGACAGCCGTCTGCACAGTACTTGTGCCTTGCCACCTCCTCTGCCAGGGTCACCTGTGGGCCTCTCTCTCTGCAGCCACAAACTCAGACCAAGCTGTGTCCATCTAAGGCAAAGGGCCCACTGGGTGGTAGACCTCATGATAAGCAGAGGGGGCGGGTCTTTGGAGGGATCTTTCTCCTTTGCCCCACCTGCTGAGGGAAAGCAGAACCCTACTGAAAATGCCCCACCATTCCTCTTCCTAACCAAAGTCAGGACCAGGAGCCAACTGGAGAAGGGCAATGGCCAGGGAGCAGCCACTGACTCCCGGCATTCAGCCTGTGCCAGGCGGCACCACCCATGTCTGGAATCAGAAACAGTTCTGTTCTTGGCTTTCCCCAAGTGTCCTGGCCACCAGCCTCCTGGTCACCTCTGTCTGGCATGCATTACCACCTGCTGGCTCCCAGCCCATGGCCCTGTGTTCTAATACTGACCTTCTGAGCCCCAAACTTTTGTTACTAGCGGTCACAGAGAGCTGCCACCAGCCCCGCGAACACCATGCAGAGAGCAGTTGGGCCCTGTAAGGGGGTCAGCCTCCAAGGCACAGGGCCCTCCTGGAAGGTTATGGGCCTGTCTCTGCTGGGCACCTTTTTGGAGCTGAAGCAATGTGTAAAAGTCCCGAGGGATGTCAAGGTCCGGTCCCAGCAGGAACAGAAAGCATTCGTCACTGGTACTGTTTGTAAAATTTCATCATGGTAATACCATCATCTTCCCAAGGCCTGCCCATTTATCATCTCGGCTGCCACCCTCTGTCAGCCACCAAGCTCACAGGTGTTCAGGTTCCTGGGCCCTAGTCTGACTCGGGCCCTCAGGGTCCTTGGTTCAAAGGCCAGGAGTCAGTCTTCAGAACCCCCGAGCCCAGCCTGCACCAGCTCCCTGCTGAAGTAGGGTAGGATCACAACCAGGTGATCAAATGGCCTGACCTACATCTGCTAATATTAATAGCTCTAGAGCCTGGCAGCCTGGGCTGGAACAGTCTAGGTTGAAACACAATTCGAGGAACTGTTGACTTGGGTTTGTTCCCAGCCAGGCAGCTGGGAGGTGCTTGGGACCAGTTGGGATGGGGGAGGGAGGGAGGGGGAAGAGGTGAGGGAAGAGAGCCCTCTGGCCTCTTCCAGCTTCTCATTCTGGGTCATGAGAACCCAGGATGGCCTGAAGACCAAATGTCACTCCAAGGTGGTGTTGATGTCAGTGCGTGTGCCCAGGCCTCTGGGACCCTGGGTGACCTGTGCACTGGGTTATACTGGATCTGATCTGAGATCAGGCCTCCTTCTCCTTCCCCAGCCCTGCTGCCTGGCTTGCCCCAGGCTGACCAAAGCCCACATGACAGTTAGCAATAGGACAGCCCCTCCTTCCTTCCTCCTCCATCCTTTCCTACCCTGACTTCGAAGGTACCATTACCCCAGGGACTAACCGAACCCAGAATGCCTGAGCTGGGCCAAGTGGCCAGACTATGCCTCCAGCAGAGAACCAGGGACAAGTTGGCCAGCTGGACACCCAGGGACAGAACCCTGGAGCCCTTCTCTTGAGCTGCCAAATGAG